TGTGGCCTTGAGAGAGAAACAGACTAAGTGAAAACTTTTATAGTGAGTAAATATGAATATTAATATATAAATAGAGAAAGATATAAATTTTCCCACAACAATACATACAACATACAACTTAGAATAGGACACACTGGATTGAATAGATGGTTATTTTTCATCAGACAGGGAAATTAAACTGTGGAACGTGTCATTTTGAATTGTAGTAAATTTTGGATCCAGAGAAACAGGTTAATGAGGAAACTTAGTGACATGAAAATGAAACTTTGTCGGTTTATTGCAGAAGGAATCAGGAAGCAGAGGATGTCGGGTTATATTAGAATTTTTGAAACAGATTAGGTTGTATAATAGAATATCGTTTTTTGTTTGTTTTTTTTTTCTGCCATGTGGTTCACACTCCATACCAGTTGGTGGCGGTAATGCTCAACTAACGTTTTTTGCCAACCGCCATTATAACTAAAAAAGAAGAAGTTCTAGTTCAGAGCAAAAGGTTCCACTGCTGCTTCGGAACCATGAAGCTTCTGGGTCGAACCGGAGCCGCCCTGCTGCTCGGAGCCGCGGTGGGCCGCCTGCTGAGCTGCAGAACCAGAACCGAGGAGGAAGTGGGTCTGCTGGGATGGGTTCCGGTGCTCCCGGTACCGGAGCCTCTGACCGTCCGAGCCTCCGAGCTCAGCGTGAGTGTTGCACCGAGAGACCGGAGCCGGTGTGACGGGTCAGCTGGTGACAGATTAACTGCGGACCGCAGATGATACTGAAGCTTAGGTGGCCGTGTTGATGCCTGACGAAAAAATATTCCTAACGTAACAAAACATCCGAAACATCAACTGACATATCTAATAATTAATTTCTGTTTGTTTGTTTTTCAGATTAGATCGATGTGGCAAAGAACGTTTATCCACAGAAAAGCAGATAGTGCAAAGAATCCCACCCAGAGAACAGCGGCTTTAACAAGTGTAAAGAAAAATAAAGTCTGTCTCACATGGAGTCATTTCTCCTGCTGAAGCTGAAACTATAAATGAAAACCTGCAGCTGGAGACACTTTATAAATCCCTGAATGTAAATATAA